TCGGGTGCAGTAAGCGATCGGAGGCTGGGGGCAGGCGTGGGGCGTACACCCCTACGCAGCGCTGCCCGCCCTCTCCCAGGCCCTGTGGTCCACGCCCAGGGGCCCGCTCACCCGGGCGATCTCGGCGTAGGCCAGCCCCAGGATCCCTTCCCAGTTGGAGCCGTTGATGAAGAATTTGTCGGACTCGGTGATGGCAGCGATGTTGGCGCGGACGGTGACGTTGGGGCCGTGCGGGATGGTGACCAGGTCCGTCCCCAGCTCCCCTTCCCACTTGCCCTGCGTGTACGGCACGTAAACCCCTTTCCGCAGGTCCCGGTAGGTGCTGGACCTGCAACAAACACCAGAGAGACAAGCAAGCCCTCAGGCCCGGGGCACCGGCGGGGGCGGGAAGAGGGAGTGCGGCAGGGCTCTGGGGGAGATGGTGGAGCTGAGTACTGGTGAATGTCCACGTGTGTGTGCAAGTGGAGGGATTGTGAACTCACACGTATGTGTGTGTGAGTGCACACCCACATCGGCTACATGCTGGATGTGTGTGCCTGGGGACTGGCCTGCGTAGTGGTGTGTTTGTGACGCCGCATCCCTGTGGATGTGTGGAGCTGTGCCTACGCACGGGTGTGCTGTGTGTCCTGTGTCGACGCGTGCCAGGAACTCCCACACGTGTGCGTGCACACAAGGAGGAACCCCCTGCACTTTTGTGTGTCCCTGTGTCCGCACTCCCCACACACCTGGGCCTCTGACCTGCTGCATTCTGGGGCTCGCTGAAATGCCACTTCCCGGCCCGCCTGCGTCTCCTCAGCTTGTCCCAGTGTAGGGCCAGGCCGTGCACAGGGCACTCAGAGCCGCTGTGAGCGTGCACAGGGCAGTCGGAGCCGCTGTGAGCGTGCACAGGGCACTCAGAGCCGCTGTGAGCGTGCACAGGGCAGTCGGAGCCGCTGTGAGCGTGCACAGGGCACTCAGAGCCGCTGTGAGCGTGCACAGGGCAGTCGGAGCCGCTGTGAGCGTGCACAGGGCACTCAGAGCCGCTGTGAGCGTGCACAGGGCAGTCGGAGCCGCTGTGAGCGTGCACAGGGCACTCAGAGCCGCTGTGAGCGTGCACAGGGCAGTCGGAGCCGCTGTGAGCGTGCACAGGGCACTCAGAGCCGCTGTGAGCGTGCACAGGGCACTAGGATCCGCTGCCAGCGTGCACAGGGCAGTCGGAGCCGCTGCCAGCGTGCACAGGGCACTAGGATCTGCTGCCAGCGTGCACAGGGCACTAGGATCTGCTGCCAGCGTGCACAGGGCACTAGGATCTGCTGCCAGCGTGCACAGGGCACTAGGATCTGCTGCCAGCGTGCACAGGGCACTAGGATCTGCTGCCAGCGTGCACAGGGCACTCAGAGCTGCAGGGCTGATTCCTGTTCAGACACTCGGGCCAGGGCCATGGGAGCACTGTGGGCCCAGCCCAGGGTGGGGGACAAACAAGCCCAGACCCTGTGCAGCGTGCCCAGGCCCCAGAGGCCAGGCCCTGCTCCGTGTGCTGGGGGGCTGGGCCGCTCCTCTGCTCTCTCTGTACAGAAAGGGGTCATTGAGCCCTGCCCGGGGCAGACGCTGCCGTCATGGAGGCTGAGCAGCACCTGGCAGGGCCGGCCTTGGGGAGCGAGGGCGGGACACAGAACGTGGA